TCCTCTCTAGAGTAGTTTTCCAACTTAAAAATGAGCCACGGGGTATAGTAACACATACATAACAGATAGCTTGGCCTTCAGATTCTCTTGGTGCCTAAGACTTTGGGTCAGTTATAAAATATTTGTGAGAAAAATTGGCATAATTATTGCAAATTTCTTATTTAAAGAGGCTGTGAATTGCAAGTCCTTTTGTATCAGGCTACTGGAAAGGTTCACTTTACATGGTGCATTTTTCCCCCCACCAGCTGAATTGGAGCAAGTACAATAGCTCTCTCTTGTGACAGAAAAGGTAATTGCTTCTTTTCTCTGTGTCACAATTTAGATATTATTACTATTATGAGTTTGTAAGCCGCTCTGAGACTCCGAGTGAAGGGCGGGGTATAAATCCAATCTCTTCTTGTTCCTCTTCTCTTATTTTTTTTTACACAATTACAAACCTACACAGACACTCCAAATGCTACAGTTAGTTGTGCGTACAGCCTCCATATTCTGTCATAATTGCAAGTTTAGGCATGTTTTGAGTTTGTGCAGGGTAACATGGTGACTGCAAACCAGGGCTATAAAACTTCAGGGGCCCGTATAGTTCTCCCTGTGGCCAGGTGGTTGTGGTCTGTGGCAACATAATGGAGCAGGCCTTAACAGTCCTGTATAGTGTGTGCCTATTTATTATTTATACTCCGCCTTTCCCTTCTGGCTTAAGGTAGCTTACAATTCTAAACATTAAAAACATACAAAATATGGTAAAATCCCATTGATAGAAATATTATTCGGTATTGTGGTGCGTCCCCCTTAAGTTGCTGAAGCAAAATACCATCTGGGTCCCTTAGGGAGGATATAAGAAAACTTGGCAATTGTTCAAGCAGCAACTGCAGCTAATCTACGCACCGTAACTGATCTGAGGTCTAAAATAAGGCTTCTTGGACATGCCTAGCTGGTTCATTAAACAGAAAAAGGAGGATAAGAATAAATGGACAGATTTTACAATAGAATGGAACAAACACTGAGGTCCATCAAAGATCTGCATTGGAACTGTGTTATTTAATTCAACTACTTATCTTGGGGCAGGGGGTTATTGGCAGATGAAAGGAAATTATTTAGCATGGTGAAAGGTAGGCTGTGAGAAACCGTGTTTTAATCCTTTTTGAATATTATTACTTCTCCCTGTGTTTTTCTGTGGAGCTGGTGCCTGCTGCGGTGCAGGGAGATACGTATGTGTTTTTTAATCTTTGCTCCTCGTAAATAAAGATATGTTGACTTTTGGAGAAGACAAGTGTGTGGGACGGTGCAATCTGTGAGAGCTTCTTTTCATCCCGGGAGGGGACCCCAGGGACTGGAGACCTACTCGGGAGGAGAGGATCTAGCTACTTGTCTGGAGGTCTGAATTAACTAGCTCTCGAGGTGAAACGACCGGGAGGCTGACCCCAGACTCATACACCCCCCCCTAAGAAAACATCTGGAGCTCAAAACCCATTCAAAGCCCTTACAAATAAAATGGCCTTACAGTAAGGTTACCATTTTCCAGCTGGGGGCAGATCTTCCACCTCCAGCAGCCCCTTCCCACCATCACTTAGCTGGGCAGTGGGAGAAAAATGAGGGGGTGGAATCATCAGCATCTCACTATGCTGACATCACTTCTGGTACACCCGGAAGTGACATCAATGCATCACAAGTGATACCATTATGTCACCAGTGAGCCCTCCCCCCCGTAGTGAATTTCATGCCAGTGTGATTCCCCTTCATAAAGTCCTTCCCTTCCCTTCCACACAGACGGGATATAATATTCTCATCCAGATATTTTAAAAGTCAAGCAAAGACAGAGACTGTCTGTTTCCTCTACAGTGAGTCTGTCCTTGCATCTAGCACATACTGTCCTTGCATCTAGCACATACTGCAATCTCACTGCAATATCTGACAAGCGGAGCGGCCTGCATTGCAGAAGCATGGTATAGTGACCAGAATGTGCATTTCATGCATTTGGTGGACATGTAGGGATCCGAAACATGTAGTTGGGTTTTCAAAATGGCTTTGACAAAGCCCCCTGTCAACTCTCCGTATGAAGGATTAGGAGACACTGAGGTCTAAAATAAGGCTTCGTACATCCCTAGCTGGTTCATTAAACAGAAAAAGGAGGATAAGAATAAATGGACAGACAAACATTGAGGTCCATCAAAGATCTGTATTGGAACTGTGTTATTTAATTCAGCTATTTATCTTGGGGGAGGGGGTTATTGGCAGATGAAAGGAAATTATTTAGCATGATGAAAGGTAGGCTGTGAGAAACTCCAAGAGGATCTCTCCAAATTTGGTGACTGGGCAGTAGAAAGACAGAGAAGTACAAACCCATAAATACTAGAAAATTAGTATTTCTTTTATTAACAAAAAGTTCTGGACAATCAAAAATAATAATAACCACATTCACTACTAACAAAATTTGTAGTAGGGTATGACCTTTCATGAGTCACTGCTCACTTATTCAAATACTTATTTATCTGAAGAAGTGAGCAGTGACTCACGAAAGCTCATACCCTACCACAAATTTAGTTAGTCTTTAAGGTGCTCCTGGACTCTTACTCTTTTCTACTGCTACAGACTAACACGGCTACCCTTCTTGATAATTACTACTGAAACTTATACCAGAAGTTGTGATCACCAACATTCACTTCAGTATATTCAAGGAGGATAGCTCAATCAGTCGTTGTGAGTTGTTTGTCATGGACACAGGGAGCATACCTCTCTGAGCAATTCTCCACGTGTCAATGATTTTCTTTGGTTTCCCAGTTGCTACTGGGCTGCGGCTGACATGGAGTGGCTTCCACATGGTGGGCTTTCTTGCATTGTACTTGTTGCATGTCCCCTGATGGCCACCTGGCTCCCCACACCACTTGTTCAAGCTTTATTTAAATCTGTAATTGACATCTCAATATACCAGCTCTGAGAGAACAGTGACTGACCCAGGGTCACCCAGCTGGCTGCATGTGGAAGAGTAGAGTAGGAAATCAAAACCAGTTCTCCAGATTAGAGTCCACCACTCTTAACCACTACACCAAACTGGCTCTCCAGACTGGGGACTGGGGCAGAGCAAATGGCAAAGATGTGGGTGGAACTGGGAAGTCAGCCAGGTTACCTGTTATGGCACCTCCCAGGCATCCCCTCCACTGCCCATGAGCATGACAAAGGCCAGCAGGTGGCAAATGGGGTGGATGTGCTGGTGGGCAACATCACTTTTGGCAAAAAAAAAATGTCAAGTGCTGTCATGATGCTGGGGTGACACTTTAGGATTAGCAAACAACAACCACCACCACCCACTATTTTAGCCACAGAGTTCAGGCAAATCCCAGATAATAGCCCCCCTGATGTCAGTGGTGTTACTTCCAGTTTTCCACTGGAAGTGATGTTGTGCCCAGATGCCAGTCCCTGCTCCTGAAATCCTCCAGGGGGCTGCCAGGCAATAGTCTGGCATCCCTATTTCCCACCCACAAGGCTGCCAGCCTGGCTTTGTTGCAGTCTTTCCAAAACAGTAAACCAGCCTTAGGAAAGATGGGGAAAATCTGGGATGACTAAATGCTCGGGGCAGTCCAGGGGTCAGGTCTTGACATGGAATGGGGATGATTAGCACCCATACTACCACCTCCCTCTAAGCTAGCTCACAGTTTTTTAGCCTCCAGCTCACATATTTTTGCCTTAGGAAGGAGGGCTCCAGAGCAAACTAGTTTATGCAGTAGCCAAATCTCTCGCTCACAACTTTAATGCCAGCAGCTCACAAAGTAGAATTGTTGCTCACAAGACTCCACAGCTTAGAGGGAACATTGCACCTCACCCTTCTTAATCAGCAAGCGAATCTGCTGGGGGAGAATAAGTTATTTGGAATTCCCCCAACTCACAGCCCCACATCTTCCCTGCCAGGATTATATAAATTTGCAGGGGGTTAAAATAGCTAATTTCTCCACTTCCCTGGTTTTTTAAATTTTACTATATCTTCAAAACTGTCACATTATGTGCCTCCTGGAGCTAGGGTTGACAACTCTGGGTTGGGAATCCTCCAGATTTGATGGGGAAGCCGGGGGAGGGCAGGGTTTGGAGAGGGGAGGGACCTCATCTGGGCATAACACACAGAGCCCACCCTCCAAAGCAGCCTATTCTCCTGGGGAACGAATCTCTGCAGTCTGGAGATGCACTGCAATTCCTGGAGCTCTCCAGCCCCCAGCTGGAGGTTGGCAGCCCAGCAACACAGGTTTAACCCCCCCCCCCCCATGTTAGTTTTAGTATTATATTTCAATGGCTGCCCCAATGTTCTTTCTGGTTCCGTCACCCTCTTTCTAGCCAGCCCTTAAATCTGCACGTTTGATCATTCTTGCAGGCTAGGGATGCCACCCTCCAGGTGGGACCTGGGGATCCCCGAGAATTACCACTCCTCTCCAGACTACAACGATCTGTTCCCCTGGAGAAAATGGATGCTTTGAGAGGTGGATTCTATGGCACTGTGCTCCAGGCTCCATCCCCAAACCTCCAGGGGGACGTGGCAAAAGGGACTGGGTAAAGGCCGGAACGGGCATGAAACGAACAATAGTACCGCAAAAGCAGTGGGATGGGGATGCGTTACAGACCCTCGAGACTGCCCTGTCCCCTGGCAAAACCCTTGCAGCCCTGCCACCTAGCAAAGCGTAGCTAAGTGGACTGGGGGGAAACCTTGGGGTCCCACTCTAAGGTGTTTCCTACGAGTAAGGTACAGCGTCATCATGTACTCCTAAATAAACCTGCCCAGAATCGGGCTGGGTCTCGCGACCGAAAGTCGAGCCAGGCCAGCGTGGCTGCTCGGAAAACCTGGGCGGTGCCAGCCGGGCACACAGCGGCAGCAGCAGCCGCCCTATCGGCTCAGCCCACCTCGGCCAGGAAGCCGAAGCCGGGGGCGGAGCGCCGAGGAGCGCTGCATGATGAAATCCGGCCCGGCGTTGCACGAGGCCGGAGAAAGGGCTGGGCGGGCTCGTAGCGGTGGCGGCTGGTTTCCGTTTTCTTTTTTTGTTTAGGCTCGGCAAGCGGCACGAGGTTCAGCTGCAGTCTAGGCGGCCGGTCTGTGATCCCTTCTGGACGGCACAAGGTAGCACATTTCCTAGGGTGGTGTGACAGCCAATGCTCCCTCTAAGCTGTGAGCAAAAATTCTACTTTGTGAGCTACTGGCATTAAAGTTCTTAGCAAGCACTTTGGCTGCTGCAGAAATCAGGTTGTTCTGGAGCCCTCCTTCCTGAGCGAAGACAAAAATCTGTCAGCTGGAGGCTAAAAAACTTTGAGCTAGCTCACACTAACTCAGCTTAGAGGGAACACTGGTGACAGCGCAGCGAGCGCTTAGAGGCGCGGAGATGCCGCAGGGTGGGAGAATGCCTGGGATTGATGTCCCCTTCGGGGCAGAACTCCTGGCCTGTGAACAGCTCCTCAGCAGCTGTCCCACACTTCTCTATGGGCGAAAGCTGCACTTGTTGATTTTCTGGTTAGGTTTCTGTTAAAGGCACTTAGGTGCCAGCTTCTCCTTAGGGAAGAAATACATAAAGAAAGAAAAGAAGACAATGTGTTGGGATCCTTAGATCACCTTCTGGGTCTTCCAGGAATATCTCTGGCTTTAAATGATTTATTAGGAGAACTCTGTATCCGTTCTGTGTGTGGATCCCACTGATTCGGGGGTGGGGGTGGTTACAGAAGTGTGAAAGTTCTGCACATTCCTCTTGTAGGTGGGAAACAGAACTCGGTAGTAGACACCCCCCCTGCCCAAGCATATGACGTGGCACATATTCTACCATTTTTTCCAATCAGCTTTGTTCTTCTCACAGTTGAAATTTAAGATATATTCCAAAAATTTCCCCTCCCCCATTACCTTTGCCACTTTGTTTTTATTCTTTCTATTTGTTTGTTCTTCTGTTTAATAAAAAAAAAATTAAACCCACAAAAGAGCAAATAAATAATCAGGCCATTCATTTTTCTCTAAATGTTGAAACATTTGACAGCGTGACCAGGGCTATAAAATCTTAACTTTCCCAACTGGGCAATAATAACCAGTGCCTGAGACTGTATTGTTAAGAATCTTAACACATTCTGAAATCCTTGGTACAGTTCCTTTCATGTCAGTATTCCTAGCAATAAGCAAAATTCTCAACTCTTGCAGGCCTCTAATGGAACTTTATGATATCTGTTCTTCTTTAGAGTGTATGTTTTTGACACAAGCCATTCATGGATAAGTCTCATAATGGGACTGTAGAGGTTTCTTTTGATTATGGCACTGCTTTACTTCCTATTCATTTCTTTGAAACTCCACCCGTAAATATGGCAGCCCCACCTTGTGAAGAACACTGATTATAATGTGTAATGAGCCCTGCAAGGAATGTTTTTTAAAAAAATATGTGTGTGTGTGTATAAATAATAGGTGTATCGCTGTGTGAAAGGGAAAAAGTTGTTCTGTTGTTTTCAAAGTTTTTATTACTCATATAGAGAAATGAAATTAACAACTTTTGAAGCCATGTGGGGAGGATTTTTTTCTGGGGGAAAATGGAAACTCTGAGAAAAACTGAAATATATACATTAGTTTCTTATCAAAGCTGTTCTGGTTTTACTGCTTTAACAGCATGACATTCATAATTTACACGTTAGTATACAAAACTGTATTGTTTGGGTGTATCTGCTCTTTGGGTATATACCTAATACTTGTGAGAGAGAGCTGCTACCTGCAGAAAACTTCAACATAAGGTGCTGCGACATATCTTCGTTTTCTCCATTTGAGGAGCAGGAAAAACTTAAAATTTGAAAATAGAAAAAAACCCATAGTAAACAAAAGAGATTTTGTTATTTGCACAGAAACAGTCACAGAAAGATTTTCAACATGTCTGGCTGTTGTGTTAAACTTAAATTAGTCATATCTAAACAACAAACATGTTTGAAAATGTATTGTATGCATAGGAATTATCATCATCTAATGCTCTAGTGTCCTAAATACCTTCTTTTTGCACATTTTAAATTAGTAAAACCTCATATTGGAAAGCATTTCACTCACTCCAAAAGAAAAAATCTTGTATAGAGGAGTTTTTCCCCCCACAGCTCCTCAAATTTCCAGTTTTTCTTTTGGAAAACATGATTTTTAAAAAATTGTCCTTGGAAAAAATTCTCCAGATCTTTCCAGTGTTTTCGCAGGACTTCATGGCTCTATTTTACATGTGTATAACAGAGCCTATGTATACTAATGAGTATTGACAGCTGCTGGACTGAAAGGATCAATTTGTCCTTTGTTGATGGGCAGTTTGGGTAAACAACTCAGGCTACTGCTTTATGGGCAGTGCACAGAAATCAGATAAGGTCAGTATTGAGCCAGAGTGTGCTGCATGGGAACAGTTGTGGGAATTGCCCTTTTGACAGCTTTTGGCAAACTGCAAAAGTTAAGAATATGAAGTGTAGTTTAAAAGTTATGAAATTAATCAGAAAACTGTTTGTTTTCTTCTGTGGTACATCTCCTTATGCCTCTATAGGTTTGCCACCAGAGGACAGATCCACGAGAGCCAGCCCATTGGGTTGGATCTAGCCAGTTTTTTCACTGTGTCTCATTCCCCTCCCGAGTGTAGCCCCTGTCCTAGGTGACGTTTATGCAGGTATCTCCAGCATAGACTTTTTGGTGGTCAAAGGAGACTTCTTGCTCCCTTTTCACCAGTGGAGAAGCCGGTTTGATCAAAACCAATATCTGGATCTGTTTGGGTTTAAATGGTTCTGAAACAAATAGTTCTTAGTCTCCCCGGCAGGCATGCTGGACAAAGCAATCTATATAGTGTTCTCTTGCTGTAATAAGCTGCTATTAAATTCTTATTACTTGTAACAGAGAAAGATCCCAACCCTAACAAAACTATTTTCCCTTCTCTTACATCTTTCTGTGCATCATTAAGTAGAAACCACCATGTGTGGCATCTGGGCCCTGTTTGGAAGTGATGAATGCCTCTCAGTTCAGTGTCTCAGTGCTATGAAAATAGGCCACAGAGGGCCAGATGCTTTTCGCTTTGAAAATGTCAACGGATTCACCAACTGCTGTTTTGGTTTCCACCGTCTGGCAATTGTTGACCAGCTGTATGGAATGCAACCTCTACGGGTGAAGAAGTTTCCCTACTTATGGCTGTGTTACAACGGAGAAATCTACAACTACAAACAGGTGAAAACTGATATAAACTATGTCCACCCAGGTGCCTCTTATGGCATCCCATATGGAATTTCTTGTGTCTCTTTTGTCTTACTGATCTGTGATATCACTGCCTTTAAACACTCATTATTTAGGGATTTGGGGGAAAGGGTGACTTAGGAATTTATTTAAAGTAATGCTGAACATGGATGTAAATAAAATCCCCAGAAGCATCACTCATGTTCTTGGGCCATCTCTGAGGAGGGATAGCAAAAAAGTCAAGGAAACTGGCTTTGTCTATCTGTTGCCCAAAATTGGGAGCAAAAGAAATAGTGAAAAAGAAGTGCTCTAAGGTGGCTGACCAGGTAGAGGAAGGCAATCCTGGTTAATCCTAGTTAATATAGCTAGATCACAGAGCTGGAATAGGCAGCCTACTCAGATTCCCGGCTCGGTGCAGGACATAGAAAGCTAGAACACCACAATGCAGATTGCTTCTGCATACACGTTTCATGTTATTTCTGTGCTGTCTGTGTAAATCCAGTGGAATTTTACTTTTTGTTTTGGGAACCAGAATTATACAAGAGGAAATGTAAGACAGTTTCTGGAATACTTGCTTGGCCACACTAGGAAATTATTTGGCTTTGGTTCTGGTGAATATTTTATCAGTAAAATATTGGGTTGGATCCTGGGGACAGCAAGTGGAGTGGCTGGCATGCCCCTTTGTCCACTCCACAGCAGCTTTCTGCGGCCCTTGAAAAGCTGGTGCTGGAGACTGTGGGATCCTTGTGGACAACAAGCCTCACTTTGGGGGTGAACTGCAACGAGGAGAGGGAATTGGCCAAAATTGTTCCCTTCTTCTTTCACCAGTGGACCTTTTGCTGGTGCAGGAGAGTCCATGAGGGGAAGAAGGACGAAAGGCCAGTGTCATTCCTTCTCATTGCAGCTCCCTGATCTACGTGGCTTTTTGTTCACAAGGGTCCCCCAAACAAGAGTGCTGTTGGGGGAGGTGGGAAAGATCCACAATCATCTTCCAGTTTGTGGTTCACAGGATCTAATCCATTGATCATACTGCTAACATTAAAGTGTACTCTTCCAGATGTATTCAGGACATTTTGACTGTATGATCTCAGCATTGCTGCTGTAAAATTTGTAAACAAAGGCAAAAGGACTTCAGGCAATGTTTATTTGCATGATCAATTATCCTGAGGTAACAGCCTTTTCATTCATTTTATGATTTGTGCGTAAGGTAAGATCATATGCTGAAGGGTTGGCATTGACTAGCCAATATTTCAGGTGCTGTATAAATAAGCATTGTTTGCAAGGCCAGTCTTTGAATACTCACCGTGTTCTTTTAATAAATGTTTCCCTTAGTTGCAAAAACAATTTGGATTTGATTACCAGACCTTGGTAGACGGAGAGGTAATCCTTCATCTTTACAACAAAGGAGGGATAGAGCAGACAGCCTCCATGCTCGATGGCGTGTTTGCGTTCATTCTGCTAGACACAGCGAACAGGAAGGTCTTTCTGGGAAGAGATACATATGGAGTCAGACCACTGTTTAGGGTCCTGACTGATGATGGATTCCTTGGTGTCTGCTCTGAGGCAAAAGGTAATCTCAGTCTTAGATTTGTCTTAATGTTGTAAAAATATTGCCTGCCTTTGCAACTTTGAGCCAATAAATACATACATAGGCCTAATAGTTGGTTGGTTTGTTTAATGTGTGAAGTAGCCTAATGTCTGCGGTAGTTTTCTGTTTCCATGAAAGTAATTGTTGGCATATTGGTGTTTGATGAAACTGAGTTTTATTTAGGACCATTATATAGTTCGCAGGGCACTTTTAGAAAAGCACCCATTGTCTGATGATAACTTGCTTTCAGCAGAAAAGCAAAGTATTCCACAGAAAGAACACATGAAATCAATATCTGTGGTAACATTTAGAGACTTATTGTGGGTGGGTGTTTATTTTTATTTTTTTACTTGTCTGGTTCCTGGTAGAAATAAATATATAGATTGAGTCCAACATGAAATATACCCCATGAAGCATGATGGAACCATACTTCTCCTCCCCACAATCCATGATGCATGTTTTCACTTGGCAGGCAAGATCATTATGGGAAATGGGAAGTGTTCACCCTGTGTATGCTTCCTATGTACCCATTCAGCCCTCTGAGCTCATGTTCTTTGACAAGGCAAAATAAGTGGCACAGCTGAGCAAAGGTATGGGTGGAAGACAGTCATTTAGCGACCTTTAACAGCTCAGCATGCTGAATGACCCCATGTACATGTACTACAGAAGATGGAGAGGAAAGACTTGTTGCATCTTATGGAAATCCCTCTGCATCTGGAAGGATCATATTGATAGTTCTCATAATAATATCTCACTATAATTTCCATATGTGAGGTGATTTCAGGTTCGGAGTGTTGCATATGTGGACGCAAGTAGCATGGCGTGGCATAGAGTTTGGAGGGCTGGACTAGGGCCTATGACAACCAGGTTCAAGTCATTGCTGTGCCATGGAAGTTTGCTGGCTGCATGGAAGGTCTTCAAGTAATCCACTTTGTGGGTCAGTGAGACAGGCAGAAATAAACATATAATCACATAGCATGGGTGCTTCTTTAATACAATAAATTTTCTTAGGTATTGTAGCTAGTAAGTGACACATGCAAATTAGCCCTTAGGTAACTGTCAAATTTAGTCATACTTATTTTTTTGTTTTTGGGCAAAAGAGGCAATATGCATCTGACATGTAAAATGTATTGCAAAACTTCAGTTCTGTCTGGAGTTGTCAACTGTTATTTAATGAACTGGGAAAAGTGTTAGTCTGTTCACATTACAGTTATATTGCTGTCGTTATAGGCTTTTGAGTTTCTACTTTTCCCGTTGCTACCAGGTTTTCTTCAGCAGATATCTTCGCCAGTATACCTTCTTACTAACTTTGTGCCAAATGTGTCATATTTCTTAGAATTCTCTAGTTAGAGATTGTGTTTTTGAGATTTACGTTCTTCTGAAAATTAGTGTAGCTAGGTGTGGAAACCACCTCTTTACATATCTTGCCTTGAAAGTCCCATGGGTTGGAGCTTCATGGGGGTCACCACAAGTTTGTTGTGACTCAACTGCATGGTTTACCTTAGGTGTAGGTAGTTTTAAATATTGTTATGGTGGATGTTTCATCACAACCTGGTTAAAAACTAGCTACTATTTGTTTTTGTCACTATCTGTTTTGTTACTATCCTTCTATAGGTCTTATCAACTTGAAGCACTCAATGTCTTTTGCTCCAAAGGTAGATCCTTTCCTTCCAGGACACTATGAAGTGTTGGATCTAAAGGCAAATGGCAAAGTTGGATCGGTGGAACTGGTAAAATTTCATGGCCCTAAAGATAAGCCTCTACATGCTGATTACGATTCACTACAAAACCTGTCCTCAGGTAACTGCAAACCTAGAATTGTTTTTGTAACCTTTTGTAATTTCTTAGAATGATGCATTCCATAAACCTCAATGAATATAGGATTGTTCACAAGTTACTGTCTGGGCAGACTCTGCAGAGGTGAGAATAAGGTATCACTTGTTGGTCCCACCCCTCTCCTGCATACAGGTTTATAAATTTACACAATTTGTCCTTGTGGTTAGGAACTTTGACACATGTAGCATCACATTTGTCTGTAGTGGACGTAAGTGTGCATGCTTCTAAGTCTTTTGCTTACAAATTATTCCAAACACACATCTGGCTAGGGCCAGCAGGCACCATCCCATTCTACCTCATGACAGGAATTCACTCAGCCCGGATAGCAAATTTTGAACTTTGCTTCTGTAACCTGGGCTGCTTCCACACCAGGGATTTCCCATGTTTCAGCCTGGACTGCCACATGACTGACTGGTGTGTTTCCCCCATGTTTTCCCCCCATGTTTTTATTTCATTCTCCGTTTGTGCACAGATGGGTAACAGCCTGTTCCTTCCACAAATAAATCTGCTTTATTTTAAACTTGCAAGAAACCCGATGTTTGCTAGGCAAGATGCTATTGGCACAAGCAATCTCTTGTGTCTGAAGCGAAAACAGTGACAAAGTAATCAGAGAAGTCCTAATCAGTTACTCTTTCATGTGTGGATGACTGGAAAGGGCCAGTCCCTTTCAGAAATTAGCAAAAGGGATTCATCTGCCTTTTAGACAGAAGGGAGGGGTAAATGCTGGTTTTATCCACATGTGGTGGAGATGTTCACTCATGAAGTTATTCTGGAGATTAACAGTTGATAAGCTTATCAAGATCTGGGCTGTGCCACCAGAGGCCTACTAGACCCAGGGAGCCTGGCTAGCAGTAGGGGAGGCTGGACCTACAAACCCCAGAAGACCTTGGGAAGTTTTGGTGCCGATTTTGACCAATAGGGAAGAAGAGGGCTGGTGAATTTAAAAAATGGGTGCAAGAGGAAAAGCTGTTCTTCCCAGGGGACAGAGCCAGAAGAGAGGCTGCTGTGGGGAAGAAACCCTCATCCTGAGGGAAGGGTGAGCAGTCTAAGGCCACTTGAGATAGTGAGCTAGGGACAGTATATATTTAGACGTGTTAGGGCATTTGATTTCTTTTCTTTTCACCCACTTACTGTTATTATTCCTGCACCTTGTTTGTTTGACCTCCTATAAAATAAACCTTTTCCTTGTTGTACTCTGCCTGGTCCTCACGCCGATGATTTGGCCAAAAGGGAGGTCTGAAGGTCTTGGGAGGGTGCTCTGGGCCTTCTCAAGGGATCCTAAATCCAGAGTGGTGGCAGCGTCAGGTGACACCCCACCTGAGCCGTGACAAAGCTGAAATTGGGTATTGGTTTAGATGTATGATTCCAAGAAAGTTTCAAGTTATTCTGCTAAATCTCATTACAGCAGCTTGGATTGTATTTGCTAGATTCTGGAAGCAAGATATGTTTCCAGAACTGTCCTTACAAATAGAGAAGCTTAAAGAAATTTATGTAATGCTTAAATCAGTCTATTTACAAAAACCTAAAAAGTGCAACAGAACTAGAAGCAAATTCTTAGATCTGTTGCTAGATGTTTAGTTTTCTGCAATAATTTTTATTGTGCGTATGTTTTATATCAATAAAAACTGCGAAATAAAAATTGACAGGGGAGTGTATCATCCAAGGATGATTTTTTAAAGGTTGTAAAGGTCTTGTGTTATAACTGTGTAGAGTTATTCATGCTTGTGGACTTGTGGCTTAAAAAAATCCAGAAGAAAATCACTCACAGCTCAGCTTGTCTTTTGGGGGGACGGGACTGATTGTTGGAGGTGTCTCTTCAAATATGTGGTTGTCTGTTTTATCGAGAAATTTCACATTACCCTTTTTAAACCATTATGGTACTGTCATGGAATAAACCGGTACGGGGACGGCTGTTTCACACGGCCTTTTCCTTCCGGGAAGGAGCTGTCTCTGAAGTGGTGTGTCATTTCAAACTGCACTGCTTTCTTTTCCCACCATCCCCTCCCACACGTACAATCTCCCTGAGAGGTTTAAAAAATAAAATAAAATAAAAACATTCTATTGGGAGTGCTATGGCTCTGAAGCAGGACTACAAATCAGTGCCATAGTGACCCCATTGAGATGCCTGGACTCCATTTAGATACACTGACGTTCGCTACTGCTGTCCCCTGGAAACAAGGAGCTCACTGGATACAGAGTTCAAGCACGGGGGCGGGGGAACGGACAGTTTTGAAACCCAGGAAGCTTTGCTTCCTTCCTTAACTCCCACAAACCATGGACTTCGTGTGTGTGCGCCTCAGTCTACACTTCCTCTAAAGCAAACTTTTTAAAAATCAACCACATATCTGTCTCATCATTCACTTATGCACCTGATCTCTCACTCAAACAAGCTGTACAATCAGGTACTTTGTATGTTGCCTCTCTAGACATGCTTGAAGTGGTAAACACATGCCCTTTTCTGCCTTTGTGTCTTTTAATGGAAAAGAATGTCCATCAATAGCACTCATCTAGCATTAGTTATTAAATATTGGAATCAAAGAGGCATTGGTTAGTTTGAAATTAATGGAGCCTGGAATTTCTGAAAACTGCTGGGTAGCAGACTATTCTGGTGCTTTTTAATTAAAGCCCAAAATGGGTAGCAGATTTTCATGCTGTGCTGGTACGGTTGTGCTTATTGCTATTTTCAGTGATTTAATCTTTAAACAGACATGATAAATAGAACATCTGCCCCAAAATTACCTTTTAAAATCTATGCTGAGATGCAGTAGTGAACATCAGTGTATCTAAATGGAGTCCAGGCGTCTCAATGGAGTCTCTATGGCGCTGCTCTGTAGTCCTGCTTCAGCGGCACAGCGCTCCCAATAGAACATTAAAAAAAAAGGACAATCGTGCGCGGGGAGAAAAAGGGCGTGAAAAGAACTGTCATCGCAGGAAGTGCTACGGGGCATTTTATACAGCACCCCATAGCGCTTCAGAAGTGGTAGAAAGGATTGAAGACCAGTAGAAAGCAGTTTGAGTGAACAACGCTTCAGGCACGCTTCCCGAATGGGACAGAAGCATTTTTATGTGAACAGGTAAATATATTCTGTCAGGGAACAGTTACTAAAACGGTTCTGTCTGAAATGACAGAAAAACCCGTTAGTGAGCAGTTCCTGAAACGGAATATATAGGCTGTCTGAAATTCCTCATTGTTTTTACAAAAGATTTTCTGTTATTTCTATGCAGCACTGTTTACCCATGCTCCTGTCCGATTCCCCATGCATTCGAAATAAATCCACGTTTGAAAACAAAGTCAAATTTATTATAAAGCGATGGTTAGCTCAGGAACACAAGAATTGTTAGGAATGACTACAGACCCCAAAGGGCAACATAATAAAGGAACTTGAACCAGGTTAGGACCAATGAGTCCAATTCCCGCTGGCGGGAATGCAGATAAAACGAGCGCCCAATTCCTTGGGAACACAACGGTTCTACAACATAAACACCAGTTCAGTTCTCAGGCATAAGATACATAATAAGCAAAGCAACGCCATAACTCCATCCCACCTCCAGCTGGTCGACCTTGAGCAGTTCCGCAGATGTAGTAAGCAAAAGAAAGTAAACACCTACACAGGAGGATACAGGGGGGGGATGGACAGAGCACAATATAACATGTATATGAGAACACACAACCTTATGGCAGCTTGCTGACAGCTCCTCAGAATAAATAAAAAGAGAGTGGGGGGAGAATCCTGAAGGTCCCGTGATAACACAGTGGTGGTGGAGCTTCAGTGCGCATCAGTTGTGAAAGGGAAACCACGGCCAGCAGTGGAGAGAAAACTGATTTCGTTTTGCTGTTTGGGATTTATGTTGCAAGGGCGGTTTAATGCAGAATTGTGTCAGCAACTGGGCTACAATGGACAATCACCCTGGCGTGGAAGCCTCCCTGGTTGTGTGGTAGATGTATCTGATACATTGTGGGTTTCAACATGATAGTTACTAGATTACAGCTTGCATAACTTTGACTGAAATCACGATTGTTGGTAAAGAATTGTGTGCTCTTGTTTTGCCTGCTTTTTGTAAGCCCCCTCCTCACTTGCTGTTTGATAGGTTTTGATATTGAAACAGTGAAAAGCAACATTCGTCTTTTATTTGAAAATGCTGTTAGGAAACGCTTGATGTCTCACCGAAGGATTGGTTGTCTCTTGTCAGGTAAAAATAACTGATTATAATCTTTATGTTTGCCTTCCTTAATACAGTACATTTGACTGCAGGATGTTTGTGATGCATCTTATACTGTTTGTTTTGTGACAAATTTTATTTATTAACAACTTAAAGGAAACATTGAAATTTTTTTGGAACACACAACAATTAAAAGTTGAATTCTACAGGTTCCTTCCACTAAATGAGCCACAGGCTCCAACCCTAAGCTTTTTGTTTAGCTTTGGTGGAGCAAATAGTTCACTATAATTGTGTAGCACTTTTTACAGTGGTTGATGCTAAGGTAAGTTCTTCTTGTGTATGTGATCCGCTTGAAATGTGTACATTATTTCTTTGCTGGGCTAATGCTGTGGATGGAATAGCTGAGGGTCTTGGGGACCGATATCTTACCCAGGTCAGACATGGAAGCTCACTGGATGATCTTGGGCCAGCTACTAAGGTGGACACTCCCACTTCACTGAGCGCAATTTGAAGCCTTCCTCCAGCTTAAGGAATCATCCTCCATCTCAAGTGGCTCTTCCGTTTGATGAAGGGCCACTTAAGTTAGAGAAGGTTTCTTAGGCCAGCAGAAGGCTCCTTGGTGGATGGTTGGATCTACCCATTTTCTCAACCTAAGACGATTCTTATGTGAATAAAATGGAGGTGTGGATGTAAGTTGTGCTGGCTCTCCATTGAGGAGAAAAGGGGGATATGAATAAAGAAATATGTTACGAAAGTGGGGGAAATGATGGAAGATGACCTAAGTTGACTTTAGGACATCAAATAATAGCCATGAGATAATTATCTGTCAGTGGTGTATTTATTTTGGTGGGTGGCATAATAGAAGAATGTGAACTATATGAAGACCACACAAGAAACAAAAAAATTAGGTGGTATTTCATGGTGACACTAGGCAAATGACATTGTCACAAAATACCCATTTTATGTATTCAAAGAAGATTTTCTTCTGATGTTTCAGATTGTGATGCAGGAAAACACCTTGGAGAGAGTGTGTTTGCCTCAGACGTAAATCCTGTATTGTATTCTGCACAGCACCTACAGGGTTGATACAAAAACCAATGTCTTTTTAATAGGTGGCTTGGATTCTAGCTTGGTCGCTGCAGTGCTTCTTAAACTGATGAAAGAGGCAGACTTTCCCTGCCCTTTACAGACCTTTGCTATTGGAATGGAAGATAGTCCTGACCTTCTGGCTGCTAGAAAGGTATAGTGGTGTTTTCGTGAACAAATATTTATCCAACTAGTAGGGCTCTGTGTTGGTTGCAGCTGCAGGCAAAAAAGCATCATCCAGAAAACTTTGGCTTTTATGATTGCATAATAAAGACAAAGTTCTAGACATTAAGAGTCAAAAGGCAGAGTTTCTTATGCATGGTCAGCAATTCATGAAATCTAAGAAGGTGGAGGTGAAGGCTAAGAAGGATTGCATATTTATTTCACTGCCCTTTGCCTAGCAGAAGCAGACAGTACTGTTTTTTAAATTATTTTTGTAAAGTCACAGTATACAACTTTCCTTGGCTCAGTATTGAGGCTATTTTGGAGCAGAATTATATTTGTATTTACTTTCAGGTCAGAGTATATAATGCCTTACTAAATAATGAGTTTATATTCTAATGCAGCTGTAGCTTCAGTTCTGGAATGCAATACCAGCTTCTTTGTATGTTTAATATATAAAATATTGTGGACAGGTAGCGGCTCACATTGGCAGTGAACACCATGAGGTCAGTTTCAATTCTGAAGAAGGGATTCAGGCACTAGAAGAGGTTGTAATTTGCTTGGAAACATATGACATCACAACCATACGAGCTTCAGTAGGTAAGACTTTTTTAAAAAAAGAAAAGTATCTTAAAGTGAAAGTGAATTTATGAAACCTGGAGCGGCCATGGCTCAGTGGTAGAGCATCCGCTTGGTATGCAGAAGGTCCCAGATTCAGTCCCCAGCATCTCCAGTTCAAAGATCAGGTAGCAGGTAATGCGAAAGACCTCCACGTTAGACACTGGAGAGCTACTGCCAGTCTGAGTAGACAATACTGACTTTGATGGACCATGGTCTGATGCAGTATAAGACAGATTCATGTATGTTCATGTGTGATGAGCAAAGGGGCATATGGAATGTACAAGATCCTTACCTGCTGCTCTTAATCTGCCCCCCCCCCAGTCCAGCAGTAGCTGTGTCACACATTTATTTATTTAAGAATTTATTCAGCTACCTTATGGTGTTTATGGTGGAAGCAGCTTACAATAAAATAAAACTGAATTAAATACAAATCTTCAATAAAAATAGTAGATAAAAAGCATAAAATATGGTAAAATGGAGAAGTTGATCCTTTTTTGTAAGTGATTTCCAAGAGTTGATGAGGATTATCATTTTTTAAAAATGTACTAATTTGCTTCAACACGGACAGTTTGCTTATTCTGGATAGGACTTAGTAGATCTAAGGGTTATTATCCTTTGGCTTGTGTCAAATGAACTATGTCTTGTGCCTACTGGAAACTGCCTCCTGAGTGTTAGGGCAGCCCTCCAAATGGTGGGTTATAGTGCCAGCAGTAATCAAAAACTTTCCCTCATTGCCCAAGAAGGATGTGTTTTCCACTTGGACCTAGATCTCTTGTGGTATCCAAGCCACCATGTCCCTATAGTATAACCATTTTATATTTTTCATATTCTTTGTGGAAAGACTCCATCTAAAGAAATGTAGCTGTGAAAGAATCCTGTGGCTTTTTTTGTAAGCTTATGGCTTCCGCTGCTCTGATCACAAAATAACTTTGGAAATTATATTGTCTCTGTAGGTATGTATCTGGTCTCCAAGTACATTCGAAAGAACACAGACAGTGTGGTCATTTTTTCAGGAGAAGGGTCAGATGAACTGACCCAAGGCTATATCTACTTTCATAAGGTAAGTACACGTGTTCCTCAGGATAGTGATGGTTGTTGCTTGTGTATGAGCATGCCATAACAAGAGACTCTTGGGAAAAGAGTACTTCCATATGGGAAGATATAGGTCCTTTTATTTCTTTGAATTTAACTCTCCAGTTTGTAAAAATATTTACATGTGAATTGTAAGAGCATATTCCTGTTCTTGCTGAATTCAGAGTTTTAAGAGGACTTCAAATACATTTCCACCATAGGCTCTAGGGACTAAACCTTGTAAGTGAGCACATTTTTCATCATCTTCTCCATTAGATTTATTTAATGCTGATTTAAATATCAAAAGTGCAAAGTGTCAGTGGAACTTGGTAAAACTCTTGTATTACAGGAATAAAATTCTCCCTTTTCGGTGGCTGCTTTCTACAGTTGCACATTATTGGGTGTGGGCGAAGCTGGCATGGGAATTAAATGCATCCTTGCACATTGTTGAATTAGTGTTGAGGGGAAGCAGCAATGATGTTGCTCCTGCAGTAGAATAACTGCCCTTTGGATCAGCATGACAGACTTTTGTTGTCTCACTGGGTGCTTCTGTAGCCTTAGTATGCATGTTCATGTACATGTGTTTGCTGCAGGCACCCACACCTGAAGATGCCGTAGAGGAAAGCGAAAGGCTTCTCAAAGAACTCTACCTTTTTGATGTTCTTCGTGCTGATAGAACAACTTCTGCCCATGGGTAATTCCCCTTTGTAGGCTTATGGATACTGCACTGATGTTGAGAGGGACAGTGGCTCAGTGGCACATGTTTTGTATCACCAGGGCCAATCCCCAGGATCTGCAGCGAAAGGATTTTAGATGGAAGATTTCCCCCACACCTTCTATTTAAAATCCTTTAGCTGCAGATTCTGGGGATTGCCTGAGACCCTTGAGAACAGCTGCTGGGATCAGTGCCTTGGGTTGTGTACATGCACAGTGCTGTGAAGTCACAGTTGACTTATAGTGACCCTGTGGTGTTTTCAAGGCAAGAGACATTCAGAAGTGATTTGCCATTGCCTGCTTCTGCATAGCAACCCTGGACTTCCTTGCCGGTTTCCCATACAAGTATTAACCAGGGTTGACCTTGGCTGCGGTCACACGGAACATTAGCCACGCAAGAGAGACGGAAGACAGGCAGATTTTCCGGGCGCGATCTCACCGGCACATCTGGGAAGCGTAGCGCTTCTGTGGCACAACCAAGGCTTCCTGCCGAAAACACGCAGCAAAAAACTAGTACCTCGGAGGTACTAGTTTCCGGAAACCGCGGGGCAAGGGCGGGCGTCTGATTGCGTTTCCGGTGGCATCCGGCGCCCGCCCATGTCCCCTTGCGAAAAAGGTTTTTCCCCCCCCCAGGTCTCCGTGGATGCGCACACGCACCCAACGGAGCATGCACATTTGTCATGTGCACACAAAAAAACCAGTTTGCCCCACTGCGCGCTTCTTCGTTGTGCGCAGGCGTGTCCTGTGATCGGCATCTCTCCCTACCCACGGAACCTCCACGGTACCTCCACAGGAGGTCTGATCGCTTAACCGCATGTTAGTTTGCCCCGGGGCAAACAGCCACGCTTCCCCCCCGCAGTTTCCTGCCCGTGTGACCGGAGCCCTTACTGAGCTTCTGAGATCAGATGAGATAGAGCTAGCCCGGGCCATCCAGTTCAGGGTACGGCTTGACAGAAGGCACCTTTATATGTGGCAAGACTGGAATGGGCCACAATTGCTACTAAAAAGTCCAGTCAATCAGATCAATAGCTTCTTTTAGCAAAACTCATTTATCTTCAGTGTCTCTTTAATCTTACAAATTACAGAGACCCATCACAGTCCCGTTTAAATTTCAAGTGAAATGAGTTCCTTAATGTCAGTTAAGTGGTTAGATTCTGAGGTTTTTGTGAAAGATGAGCAAAGATTTATTGGCTCCTCAAGTTGTCCAATAATAGGATTACTTGTAATTATACACATTGTATAGTGAACTGTATAGATTATATATATAAGCAAAAATAGTCCAGTAGAACTGGAGCAATATATTAACAGTTGTAGAATTTGTCAACCAGAGAGTCAGCAGTCTGATACCTTTTCCTCGTTCTGTTTCTGTTTTCAGCCTTGAACTGAGAGTTCCGTTTTTGGATCACCGGTTTACTTCTTATTACCTGTCTTTGCCTGCAGAACTCAGAATACCAAAGGTAAACTCTGTTTGTATTATTTTTATTGAAACATTCTTGCCCTGTCTTTTTGATTCTCAGTCTAAGTGGCAGCTAACAAAGGTTATGAAGGCCACAGTGTAAATTAAAACAAATAAATTGAGCAGCAGATCACCATAACTAATCATAATAACAACCACAGCAGTATTGGAGCCTAAACACTAACTGTGAAGTAGGGAGTTGGATGTGGGCATACGAGGCATGGCTTCTAAGGATGATCATAACAGGCAGTTAGATCGATATGGGAGATAAGGTAGTCCTCAAAGGATTCTGAGCCCAAACTCTTCAGGGGTTACTTACTGTTTAATCGACAGTGTAGGAAACTGAGGCTGTGATTATGAGTAGACTCATCCACGATGGATGGAATTGACTTCAGAGGGCATGACAGATGAGACATTCTTTTACATTTTATTTTAGTGGTATTTACATCCTGCCCTTCCTACAAGGGGGTTGGATTTTTGCACACGTGAGGGCTTTCCTCCTCTGATTTCCCCCTTCCTGCAGCAGACTTCTGACTCTCCCCTAGGAGGTCTTTTGGGCTGCAGAGGGAAAGGGTGAAATAGCATTTCCACAAATGGAAATCCTTCCCACTGAAATTTTAGGCACGATCCAGCCATGGTCGTCCCTCTACCATTTTATCCTTGCACTAGCTTTGCCAGACAGGTTAAGGTGGAAAAAGGAGGATTGGTCCATAGTCATGCCTTTTGTTTCAGGGCAAGCTGAGATTTGAACCTGTATCTCCCCAGCCTGACTCCGATGCTCAGTGGGACATGTGTAACATTCTGCGGTGTTGGATATAGTGTTATCTAGCTGAGGTGCTTCTGGAAGGATTTTTTAAAAATAATTTTTTAAATGTCAGACTTTAGTGGCCAACATTGATGGTATTTCTGCATCTGTCTTCTAACAGAATGGAATTGAAAAGTATCTCTTGAGAGAGGCCTTTCAAGATACAAACTTACTGCCCAAAGAAATCCTCTGGAGACCCAAAGAAGCCTTTAGCGATGGATTAACCTCTGTCAAGAAATCCTGGTTCTCAATACTCCAAGATTATATTGACCTTCAGGTACAGTGTTGCACTTTCAATATATTCTCTAATTGTTTTGAGAGTGTAAACTTCATAATGAATTTTTAAGATTTCTCAGAATTGTATAGAATTCACAGTTTATTCACGGGACTGCTTTGTACGTTATGTTTATGTATAAAATAGAAGATGCAGGAATTGTTTGTATTAGGTTGGGTCCTGCATATAACATTTCTGCATGTGAAGGGGGGGTGGTTTGCCAATTTCCCCCTCCTGTGGCAGACTTCAGACTTCCCTCCCACCTTTGCCAAGTGCATACTCCATAATGTACATAATAAATTATACAAGATGTATTTTTTATTATTTACATTATTTATAGTCTGCCTTTCTCACTGAGAATCAAGGCAGATTACACAGTGTAAATCAGTGTCGTCAACTGGATGAAACATCCAGTAAACAAAAGGTTAGGATTGCAGAAGTCTGCAACAAAGCATACATATTAACATGACATGCAATGCAGAAATTACATGGTAGGATAAGATATACGGTAAGAGGTAGTATACACAATAGTATAGTCCATAATCCTTTCCCCTGTAGTAAAGCATCTCCTTGAACCAATTTGTTATGGTATAGCCCTATTACCTTTGTGAAAGCCATTCTGAATAATTCAGTTTTGTGTAGTTTGTGGAATGTCAAGAGAGTGGGAGCCTTCCTGACATCATCAGGTAGCCCATTCCATAATGTGGGGGGCCACAACAGAGAATGCACATGTACGATAATGTGGGGGGCCACAACAGAGAATGCACGTGTACGGGCGGTTGTTAATCTTGCCCGTTTGCAAGGTAGCATCTGCAGAGGCCCTGATCAGATGAGTGAGACTGTCTTGGTATACCATAGAAGGGGAGGTGGTCCCACAGATATGAGGGTCCAAGGCCATGAAGGGCTTTGTATATGATAGCCAGTGCTTTGAATCAAACCTGGTAACAATGACTGCTAATGGAGTGATTGCAGAATGGGACTGGTACGCATGCTTCACCAGCTCCTGATAATAACCAAGCTGTGGGATTTTGCACCAACTGGAGTCTGTGAGGTGTCTTCAAGGGGAGACTTATGTAGAGTGCATTACAGTAGTTTAGTCTCGATTTCATCATGGCATAGATCCAGGTGGCCAGATTGGCCGAGTCAAAGTGGTGGTGGGGGGTCATGTTCTGGGTTAAACTAAGTTGGAAAAAAGGGGTGGTTGTTGTTGTTTGCCACTGCATTAACTTCTCCAGTAGTAATGCTGGATCCAGTACAACCCTTTTCTTAACTGGGTCAGTATTACATTAATGGTTTATATTATTTGCACCAGCACGGATTTCCCATCTGTGCTGACAGCTCCTATGTCTGCAAAAATAGGTCTATAAAAACCTGCTGTAGTGTAAGGTGAATTGGCTGTTATTCTTCGAAGTTCTAAAATATGGGTATTTTATTTCATTTAGAATATTTAAATGTAATTTCTTCCCTACATATCAGCCACTGGAGCAGCAGGCCTTCTGCTGCAATTGTAAGATGACTTTAGAAAAATGATGGTGTTGGAAATGATAGCTACAGCAACCAAAAAGACATCTGAGAAACGGTTTCAACTGGGGCTTTTTTGTGGTGGTGGTGGTCACCAGCAGTGCCGGATTTACGCATAAGCTAAATAAGCTACGGCTTAGGGCCTCGCAATCTGCTGGGGCCTCAAATAAAAACACAATATAAAAATGATTTCAAATATTAAAAAGGCGTATATATTTTAAATTTTTCTGAGACCAGCTGATGTAATTTAAAACAGTAGGGGGCCTCTGGGTTTTGTATAGCTTAGGGCCTCAACAAGTCTAAATCCGGCCCTGGTCACCAGTACTGAGTACTGGCACCTTTGGTGGGGGGGCCCCTCTCCCAAGTCCTGAGGAGGAAATGATGGAAATCTGTGCAGCCTTACTCATGAGTACTGGCACGTTTCCCCTCCCCTCAAAAAAGCACTGGGTTAAATACAGCGCATCAAGGAGATCGTTCCATCTATCTTGTAATTATACAGTTGTTTTCCTTCTTTAAAAAAAAACACAACTAGAATCAAACCTTCAAAAACTTTATTGGCAAAGAGAGTTTAGATGTTAATTGCCCATGTGTAAAGGAAGAGCATAACAGGGCATTCATGGTTATCATGTAACAAACTTGAGTTTCCATCTCAAGAGGGAGGAAAACATTGTGCATCCTAGGCAGTTCCTTAGGAGCCATGCACAGTGATGCTTGAGCAGATTGGCCCTCCCTGGAACAGGAGCCTTTTCAGAGTAGATGGAGACAACAGTATTTCTGCTTGTAGCTCATGGAGCAAATACAGTCCACAGTGCAGTTTTCAAGCTTATAATTCCTTTCCTTTTATGCATGCAGGTTGAGGACTGTTTGCTGGAGAAGGCAGCAGAGAAGTTTCCATTCAATCCCCCTAAAACGAAAGAAGGATATTACTACCGCCAAATCTTTGAGAAGCACTACCCAGGACGTTCCAGTTGGGTCCCTCACTACTGGATGCCAAGATGGATCAAAGCCACCGACCCATCTGCTCGCACACTGCAACATTACAAATCGGCCCCAAAAGAATAGACTTTTCAAACGTTTCTCCCTGTAAGCTGCTTGTTAATGTGTGGCTCCCTTGGCCCAAAAAAGGACAGCAAGCAAACAAAGCTTTAAAAATAAATAAATAATCCTTTCAGATGAAGGGAGACCTTATCATTGATTTAAAACACTGTTGAAAACTAATATTTCTATTTTGCCAAGGCTGGGTTTTTGCACAAGCTAGTAAACTGCAGTTTAAGGCCTAAGGTTATGAAAGACCTCTAAATAAAAAAATATGACTAAAAAATAAATTACCACGGGGGGGGGGGAGGTAATGCCATGACTTCCTCTTAGACTCAATGTAGGGCCTCAGCATGTCTTAAGCCAGTCCCATATTCTACTTAAACTGCATTTTACAACCAGTATAGTCTTAAATAACCTATTCAAGCCCGTAGCATTGATCTACAATTTGGGCTGCTTAGCCTACAGGTATTCTGTTTAAACCTCAGTGAAATATAAGCCGTCTAAGAGAGCAATCCCAAGTAGGTCTGCTCAGAATCCTACCTGGTGTATTCAGTGAGGCTTACTTAGAAGAACAGATCTTTAGGGTTGCATTGTAATTGTGAATGATTGCAGCCTCTAAGTGCAATTTTCTAACTATCACTGTGCCTGCTACCTACCATAACAGTTCTGCTTTTTCTCATAGTCAGATCTCTCAACTAGGCGGTTGTAGTCATAACCTGGTCTTCTTGTTGTTAATGCAAAACACACACATTTTTATAAACCAAACGGTGTTTTTACTATAGGAGGTTGTTTGTCTTGAGTGTTTGGAAATAATGGTGCCTTAATTTTTAATAGTTGTTTGAGTGAGAACATTTCAGTTGGTATGGTGTTTCTTGGAAAAACCCTAGCATGATCAAGCACTAGGGTTCCCTTTTTGACAGAGATGTTAAAGATTCAGGAACTCTCTCTTCTACTGTACCTAGTTGCCTCAGTCACTGTGCACATTTTCAGATTTTCTCTTTCCCAAGTCTCCCCCCCCCCCCATTAAGACCATGGGGAGGTGCAGCCTGGAATTGGATCTCTAGTTTCAAGAACAACCTGAACATTTTGTTGATGAGAAACTTGTCAAAATGACCACTGTAATTTCTATATTATTGGAAGACTTGCTAATTTTAGCAATAAAAATTAACTTTTGTGATTCTAGTGGCTATATAAGCCCCATTCACAACTGATACAATCTATGTACAGTATACACTTAATTTGTCTTTGTATGTGCACTGAATAATTCTCAGGTTACATTGAAGACATACAGATGAATGTGTGGTTGAAACTGCACACATATGCAAGTATTGGTCCCCTGTTTTCATTTGTTTCATTTCTTACAAAGTAGTATATGTGTATACACACAGCTTGTATGAGCATTCCCTGTAACGTGAACGGGGCTAGTGAAACCTACATGTGATTATACAGGTACCGTATGTTTTAAGAGGTTAAGGATGGTTTTGAGTCTTAAATTATAATCTAGGAAAGGAACCATACCATGTTTCAATAAAATAACCAGAGAAACTGAAAAATGCAAATCTTAATTTAAATGCAATTTTTAAAAAATTGAGTGGTTTTTGCTATTTTCTGGTATTCTATCATGAATTAAGTGTGAAACCACAAGATGGCACCCTGGATATATTTAAACAATCTTTCTCATTCATGTTCAGTTTCTACCCAACTACAGAGTTTATGCTAGAAATGTAGTTGAGAACAACATCAGTTTTCAGTCCTCCCTCCTTTGTCACCCATTAAGCTTCCACTTAAGAGCTGACAGACACCCAGATTAGAATAAGAAATATGTTATTAATGCATTGTTCTACCCAAATTCAGTACTGAGAGCTTTGCTTGTTTTACAGTGTCCATACATTTATCATCGAACCCTAGCCATTGGAGTCTATTCTTAACTATCACCTTCCATGGCTCCATAGAAGGGTCTTTCTCAATAAGATTCAAAATCCTTTTCTTCACACTGGAGATTTTTTGCCTTAATGTAAATGCCAAGATCCACATGTTGTCGAAGGCTTTCACAGCCAGAGTTCATTAGTTGCTGTAGATTTTCTGGGATGTGTGGCCGTGGTCTTGGCATTGTAGAACCTGACGTTTCGCCAGTAACTGTGACTGGCATCCTCAGAGATATAAACACAGAAAGATGGAATACTCTCTGTGTAATGAGTATTCCATCTTTCTGTGTTTATACCTCTGAGGATGCCAGTCACAGTTACTGGCGAAACATCAGGTCTTACAATGCCAAGACCACGGCCACACATCCCGGAAAATCTACAGCAACCGAGATCCACACACGAGCTTCCAATGAATTCTGGACCAATTCAGCTCTAAGAACAATGCCTGAAACAGCTTGGTATACAACAAATCTTGTGGATAAACTGTAACAGAGGTTGATCAAATAATTCATCCACCACCTCTATCAAAACCCCAGTTCAATACAACAGTTGGGATACTACCTCAGTACTGAAGACATGAATAGCGGGTGAAGAAGAATTGAGTAATTGCATTATTGGTGAGTCTAGCTTTTCTCATTGCTAGTCAGCTGAAGAAGAAGAATAAGTTTTTATACCCCACTTTTCTCTAGCTTCAGGTGACTCAAAGTGGCTTAAAATCACCTTCCCTTCCTCTACCCACAACAAGCATTTTGTGAGATAGGTGGGGCCAAGAGAGTTCTGAGAACTGACTGGCCCAATGTCACCCAGCAGGCTTCATGTGGAAGAACGAGGAATCAAATTTGATTCTCCAGATTAGAGTCTGCTGCTTTTAAACACTACATCATGCTGAATTTTCAATAAAATTTCCAGCTCAAATTTGATTGAAAGGTGACTCCTGATACCTAAATTGCTTTACCTGTTCAATTGCTTGTCTATTTATGATCCAATATCTACTGGGGGATATAGGATTCAGGGAACACCATAATTCTTTACTTTTGCATATTTATGGCTAATCCTTCTTTTACACAGTATTCTTTTAATAGGTTATGTAAACCAAGCAGAGTGCATGATAATAGAAGTGTATTGTCTGCACACAGCAAAAGTGGCAATTTCTGTTCTGCCAGCTCTGGTGCATGGGTTAGGTAACTGGATAGATGAGGGGCCAAATCATTTTGATAGATATTAAATAAGAGTGAGGCCAATAAACAACCCTACCTCACACCCTTATGCAAGGGGATTTCATCAGTTAATTGTCCTTCAATACCAGTTCATCTCTGGGCAGGAGATTTAGAATACAGTTGCTTAATTAGCCACAACAAGCGTTTATCAATTGAAGAGGTTTCTAGCTTAATCCATAGTCTTTCCCTTGAAATGGAAATGCCTGCTTGAGATCAATAAAAGCTGTGCACCAAACTCCTCTGTTTACTGAGGCATATTTGTCAACAAGAAGGCAAAGAATTAAATAGTGATCAATGACTGAGCAATCTTTTTGAAATGCACCTTGTTCCAGGCCAAAAATTCATTTGATTGGAGCCAAATTACTAGTTTATCATATAAAAAGGAGGGATACAATTTACCTATTATAGACAACAGACTGATTGGTAATTTTGTGAGTCTAAACTATTTCCTTTTTTTATAGATGGGAACTATTGTAGCCTTTCCCCAGATTTTAGGCATTATACCCATATTATTTATTTGTGAAAAGGCAGGAGCAAGAATTCTGGCCCACCAAGTTGGGTTAGCTTTAAGTAACTCTGCAGAACAAAAGTCTGGACCTGGAGCCTTCCCCGATTTTAACCTTTTGATTAAATTCACCATTTCTCTAATGGATATCGGTGGCCATTCTGGGACTTCCAGCATCTCATTTTCTTCATCTGATAAGGAAGGATTAGATAAAAAGGAAGGTTAAAAAACTGTTCCCGTGTAGATAAAGGAATACAACATTAGATTTTCAGACCAGGTCTTATTGATTCATTTATATTTTTCCAGAAAATGTGTACATTAGACTCATTCACAGCCTTATGCAAGATCTCCTGACCACGAATCAGATCTTTTTTCTTTCTTGCAATTAAGTTTTTTAAATCCTTCTTTAACTGTAGCAGTTCAGCTAGATTGGGTTTAATATTGTAATTTAAAACTCCCATTGCTTCTGCCTAACCACATGTTTTAGTTTTCTACAATCCTTATCAAATCATAGATTTCTAGGGACAATCACCTAAATGTGCTTGTTTTAAAATAGCTTGTTGGAATAAATCAAAAAGAAGAAGAAGAGAAGAGATTGGATTTGTACCTCGCCCTTCACTACCCAAAGGTGTCTCAGAGCAGCTTACAAACTCCTTTCCCTTCCCCTCCCCACAACAGACACCCTGTGAGGTAGGTGGGGCTGAGAGAACTCTTGACAGAAACTGCTCTTTTTCAAGAACAGCTGTGCCAGAGTTATAGCTTGCCCAAGGTCATCCAGCCAGGTGCAAGTGGAGGAGTGGGGAATCAAACCCGGTTCTCCCAGATTAGAGTCCGCACACTTAACCACTACACCAAGGTTTCCAAATGTAGAACTATTGGCACATCAGTTCTAATTTGCCTAAGCAACGTCTTACAACATTCAGAGAACATACTTTCTCTGATTCTCGCTTCTGTCTCTGAGCTTTTAATTTAGTATCACATCATACAAGAGCAGTGTGAGTTTCTCTTGGTGATAATTGGAGTAATAGGCACAAAGGAAAATGATTGTTTCCCAAGAAATAGCCTACATTAGGTGTGTCCAACAAGTAGATCGCAATCTACCAGTAGATCACGGAGGGGTCAGAGGTAGATCACCAGCCCCACTTGGTCTCCTGGTTTGCTGGACAGGTGTTTGGGATTCCCTGAGACTGGCCCTCACGCAATATTCACCCAACTTCAAAAAGCTGGTGGATGAAATGCAGGCTCAGACGTCTCACTAATGAGCAAGAGTGAAGTTTTAAAGATTGCACAAGATCAGCCTGGATCAATACTTGACCTACATTTAACACAAATAACTCTGAATAAAAGTTAAAGAAAGTTATTGAGACAGTTAAAGAAAGTTATATCTCAATAAAAATTAAAAATGTTTGGCAGTTCTTTCTGGATCTTCGTCTCTCTGTTTTGTTTTTGCCTATTTTGCTTACCAGTAAATGACAGAAGGTGCATTATAAATGAAGGGGGGCGGTGGAACCCAACCTTAGTGGGTTAAAATCTAATTTGAAACTTTATTTTCATGGTGGTAGATCACCGGCAGTTTTGGCCGGAAAAAATAGATCACTACCTGTTCGAAGTTGGACATGCCTGGCCTACATAATTTTTTGACAGACTACAGTACTCCTCCCAAGGTTAGAAAATAGTCTATTATACTAGCCCCTGTGGAATTTACACATGTACACTCATCCCAGTTATCAATCATATGACAGGGATGAAGCTCACTGTAAGACCACAGGGCCACTCACCCTGTCTGACTTAACTCTTGGTGAGGAGAAGTTGGATACTGCTCTGAGCTTCTTGGAGGAAGACTAGGGTAACAATGTGAGAAATTAAGTGAGCAGTTCTAAGTGGGGCTACTCTGAAGGCAACTAAAGTTTATTCAATTGAAACTAATACAGAGAAAAGTGTTTTTAGAATTGCACTGTACTCAACCAAGAGGGCAATGCTAAGTAGGTCTACTCAAATACAGTCAGTGGACCTTAATCCCCATGCAGTGTTCTCATGAAGGCACTGTTACTTAACCTAAGGTCTCCCAGTGAGAGTCAAGATTTGGCCTCCCCAGTCTTAATGTAACACTAACCGCTATACCCCTTTGGCTCTAATAATACCCTAATAAGCAACTCATTTATTCTCACCGGGCCATTTCCTGAACAGCTGTTTGCTTGGCCAGTTTAGTCTTCTGGAATTCTTATTCATAGTACTGCACAGCCTAAATGTGTGCTGTGCAGTGGTTAGAGTGCCAAACCAGGATCTGAGACACCCAGGTTTGAATGCCAGGGAAGCTTGCTGTTCTTCATTCTCAAGCTAGGCTGCCTCACAAGGTTGTGAGGGGAAAATGGAGAAATGATGTGGTAAGCTGCTTAGTGCCCCCACTGGGGATGAAAGTGAGGTACTAATAATAATTATCATCATATGCAGGGCTATTTTTGGGCAGGAACACACAGGAACGGAGTTCCAGCTGGCTTCCAAGTTGGCCACACCCAGCAGGAACATTAGCATAATACGCCACACCCAACAGCAGAAACTCATTAGGATTGGCTACATTAGGGGTGTGTGGCCTAACATGCAAAGGAGTTCCTGCTACAAAAGAAGCCCTGGGTTTTGACAACAAACAAGGTAAACAGAATAACAAGCAAAAGGTGGGTGTGGCTGGATAACCACACTTCTGGTAACATGGGGGTGCGGCCTAATGTGCTAATAAGCTGTGCTGTCAGTGGTGTGGCCTAATATGCTAATGAGTTTCTGCTGTTGGGTGTGGCCTATTATGCTAATGAGTTCCTGCTGGGCTTTTTCTACAAAAAGAGCCCTGACATATGGCATTGTGTGTAGAATAGCCAAGAGAACCTAGGATTTTCTGG